TTTATCTGTTGCCATTGCAAAATACCTGACACCAGGTTATTTATAAAGAATAGGGCTTCATTTAGCTTGTGGCTCTGTGAGTCTAGGAAGCAGGTGTAATGAATTAAAAACTGGTGGTCAACTCAACACCAGCTGAATTAAATCAGCCTGGTGCCAAGTATAGATGGCCACTTGAGGAAAGTTGCCAGCGTAAACAGAGATGTAGAAAAGAAGAGCAAGGCATTGTGGGTTTCTCTAAGTGTTGCTGTTTGAGCCATTGGGTCTCCTGGAGGAGCTCCTCGTAACTAGCTTCCCCAGTGTGAGTTTGATCATTGTCATCAGAGGAGCTCAGGACCTTGTTGGTAAGAGTGGCTGTGGCTCACTTTGGGGGAGCTCTGGTCCTTACTCTGAGCATCACTCCTGGCTCAGGAGGGAAGGTGTGTGCTGTTTAATTTCCAAGAGAAACTTATCATGCTGGCTTTCTGGCATGTATGGGACTATTCTTATCATTAGAGGAGCTCGGGACCACTGTGTCACTGAGGATGGCTGTAGTGCTTTTCAGAGCAGCCCTGGTTCTTATTTTGAGTGTGACTTTTCAGCTCCAGTATAAATCCTCAACCTATAGCTCCTTTACCCTACTGGCATGGACTTTCTAGCTTCCACTGCTGACCTTGGGGCCTTCCCGGTGTAGATCTGTAAGACAGACTGGCATGAGTCCTTGTCGTGGGCTCCAGTTGGACTCATGGGAGGCATTGTCTTGGGCTCTAGGTCTTCATCTGGACTCATGAAGGACATTGCTGTGGGATCCAGACCCTTAGCTGAATATTCTGGGTCTTTAGTGTTGTGGACAGATTTCCAGCACTTTCTTGTGTTTAACTCTGGGTGACACCATAAATATAAATTCTGTGTCCTGATTCTTAATTGTTCTCCTCACAACCCCTGACTACCACAGCGGGCCACCAGCCTCTACACAGCATCTAGTGAGGGCCTTCTCACTGGGTTGTGACAAGGCAGGGGATGTCACAGGGCAAGACAGAGTAAGGAGGCACAGGGAATGCACCTTTACACACGTGACTCTGGGGGTGACGTTTCCAACACATGAATCCTGAGGGGCCAATGTTCAGACCACAGCAGCTGGGTTGTTCCAGAACTGTAAATGACAGATGAGCCCTGCCCTGCGGGGAGGGTGGAGACGCAGAAACATGGGCAGTCTCGCTGCAGCAAAAGTGACAGAGCTGCACCCTGGTGGCAAGGGAGTGATCCCAGAATGCAAAGAGAACTTGGGTGTGCACAGTCCATGCATGCAGAATACTGAGGGGGGGGTGCTGTTCTGCATCTTTAGGGGCTATAGTAAGACTAGGGCTCAATTGCAGCAAATAAGTTTTAGACAGTCAAGACGTGCAGGTTTTTAAAGCATAACTTCTTGCTTAATTTAGCCATGATTTTTACTGTATCAACAGAAGCTAACTTTTCATTTTTTCATAGGTATCCTTTTGCTCTGTCCAAAAGCTCCATGTACACAGTGGGAGCCCCTCACACCTGGCCGCACATTGTGGCAGCCTTGGTTTGGCTAATAGACTGCATCAAGGTATTTGGTTTGACATTGATATGTACACATACGACCTTTGGGAGGCTGAGGCAGGAGGGTCACCAGAAGTTCAGAGCCAGCCTGGGCTACATAGGGATTTTGAGGGCAGCCTGGCCTACATACAGACACTGTCTCAAAAAAGCAACGATATCAACAACCAAGGAAAGCACATACAGGAAAGCCTTGTTTGTTGTGTTTTCGAAAAGATATTCCTGTTCCTCTCCCAGCCCTGCTTTTAAGTCTGCTTCAGTTTTCATTTTCAAAGCACACTTGATTTAGAGTTCTTGAGACTGTTAACACATGACTGAGAAGAGGTGAGGGGAAGCAAATTTCACTTGTTAGAGATTATTTATTTTTGAAAGGCTTTAAAGCTTAAATGAAAATCAATGGGATGTTGCTTTTTTTTAAATTTTCCCTTATGAGATTCATTTTTCCTCTTTTTATATGAAAATTATTTATTTGGGGATAGAAATAGCTCCTTTTGGGGCTGGGGATTTAGCTCAGTGGCATAAGCGCCTGCCTTGCAAGGAGGCAGTTGTGAGTTCGATCCCTGGTACCAGTAAAAACGTAAAAAGACCAAAAATAAAAAGCTCCTTTCAATGATCTGATCTATAAATTATTGAAATTTATACTTTTATACGCTTCATTATTGATATCTCTTAATTTCCCTGCACTCTTTTATAATGAACTACTGATATACTAAGCTTATCAGTGGGTTCAGTTTTGGGAGTTTTTTTCATATTTGCATTTTTGAACATTCTTCATGTTGCGATAACCACCTCTTCCAATCTCCCTTTTTTCTTACCAATTTTTTAAGATGCTATATTGTTTTCTGGGGTTTGCTTTGCTTTGTTTCGTTTCTGGCACTGGACATCAATTCCAGGGCTTTTTAAAAATTTCCAAACATATTACAGCATTTTTTTCATTGCTATCACATCTATTTCATAGCTATATTGGGAAATTCACATTTTGATAATTAGCCTTGTCATTTAGGAAAGTATTAAGTCTTTTATTTATTCGTATCTCTTTTTTTTTTTAAGACAGGGTTTCACTTATGTAGTTCAGGCTGGCCCTGAACTCACATTGTAGCCCAGACTGGCCTCGAACTCTCAGTGATCCTCTTGCCTCAGCCTCCTGAGTGCTGGGTTTACAGGTGTGCACCACCATGGCTGGCTATTCATATCTTTTTGCTTTCTTCAGTAAAGTGTTGTAGCGTTCTTCATTTCAAGTGACATTTCTTTTCATGAATCAGTTTGTTTCAGTGTTCTGTTGCTGAAATGGAAAGACTCCTTTAGTTTTTTATTCGATTTCTAAACTTGCTATTGCTGAGAGCTTTTTATGTTTACAACATAGTATCAAATTGCCTTACTACAGATCTGTTATAACCATGCACTTCAAATGAAGTATTTCCTTTCATTATTGACTTAGGGTTGCGCTCATGTTGAAGTCCACCTGCCTTTATCAATAGTTGTTGAAGATGATCATGCTTTTACAAGATCTAGTTAAAAGTTTTCTCTATTTGTTGATAAAATATATTATTTTCCTCATATCCTGTTTATTCACTGTGAATTATTCTTTTGTCACACTACTGAATTACTTGTTAATATTTGTAAATAAAGCTTGGTTCTGCTCTTGTTTTCGCTGTGCCCCCTCCCACAGAGATTGTCCCATGACAGGTTTGAGTGGTAGTAGTTTAGCCAGTGTCCCGCTGTCTCTGCCCCTGCCCCCGAGGATCCAAAATGGGTAAGCTGCGTGTGCTGCAGGGGTCCATGGTGGCCTTCTGGTCGGTGGCCATGTGGCAAGGGCCCAACTTACCTTAGAGCCTGGGTCCTTTTCCTTCTTTCAAGTTTCACAGTTTGGAGAAGGTATTACAATGGAAAATGCAACTGCAGAATGAGAACAGATGACTTGAAACTGGATTGACTTTTACCTCTGTACAGTTTCAAGTTGAAGCTGTTTTAGCCAAATCTCAGGTCAGACAGACCTTTTTCAGTCCTTGCGGCAGAGGCTCTCTGTAGCCCCTGGGGATCTGTTTGTCCCAGGGCGAAAACTTCCTTGAACCTTGCAGAGTAACAAGTTTTCAGAAGGACCCGTGAGAGGGGGACAGAAACTGTCTTTCCCCTGCTGACAGGCTAGGGATGCTGCCCCTCATCTTGCCCTGTCCTAATCTGCAGGCTTTGTTACACCTGGCCATCACCTGAAACCCTGCTGAAGAGGAGGAGTCGATAGTGGGCTCCCTCCCCTTCACTCAGCCTCGGTACACAGAAAGACCAGGGGAGCCTTTACGGCAGCAAACGGCAGGGTGGGCAAGTGACTCCAGGCTGAAGTCCTGGGAAGGAACAGAAAATTTCATTGTTTCTCACAAAAACCACTTCTTTGTCACTTGTAAATTTGAAAGCAGTAGTATAAAATTCAATCTAAAGTTCATGTATACTATATTATAAAATTCAGTATAAAGTTCCTGTTTATGAAGGAAACCACTGGTAACATTTGGATACCAAAACTGAGTTCATACAAAAGAAATAATTATTATTGGTTCACCTTTTACCTGGTGGGTCTCATGTGCAGTCTTAGAGTTGCATTGGCATTTATGTGCCCTCGCTGGATTAATTACACAAAGATCGGTGTGTTTTTGTCTGTGGAGCAGAACTATATCTGGAACCCATGCCTTCTAAATTCGAAGGCATCTGGTTTCTAAATAGGATGTTAAGGCTCAATATAATACCGCAAAATAAAAAGTTTTAGTTATGCAATTAAGTGCTTCTAAAAATGACACTAAAAAAACGAACCTGACAAAACATAAGAGCTGTGTTTTTCATGCAGTACTCAAGCTGCGTAATATGTTTGTGTGTAGATACACAATGCCATGAAAGAAAACTCACCTTTGTTTGACGATGGACAGCCTTGGGTGGAAGAAACTGAAGATGGAATTATACATAATAAGGTACCCTCTATTACCATAAACTGAGTTTTATATTAATAAGCAGATTTGCCACTATTGAAATTATGTTGTAGAATTTATCTTTTGCTTCCTAAAAAAAAACTTCTAAAATTGATTTTTTTGTTGTTTTGTTTTTTGTTTTTTTCATTTTTATCGGTACCAGGGATCGAACTCACAGCTGCCTGCTTGCAAGGCAGGCGCTTATGCCACTGAGCTTAATCCCCAGCCCTCTAAAATTGATTTTTTAAAAATATTATTCAAAGTTACATTATAATTTCCTATAGTTACATTATAATTTCCTAAAATAAAGTGAGCAAAGACACTTGAAAATGTTAACTACAAGAGGCCAGGCATGATGGTACCTGCCTATAATCCCAGCTATTTAGGAGACGAAGGCAGGAAGATCACAAATTCAAGGCCAGCCTCAGCAATTTAGCAAGATCTAGTCTCAGAATAAAAATTTTTAAGAGGATGAGGATGTAACTCTGCTCCCAGAGTTCATTTCCTTTCTACTGAAGATGAAAAAAATTATGGAACTGAATAATATGGTATACATTATATAGTGTTTCTTTCCCTCTTACAGAACAAAGATGTCAGTAAAGTTATTCCAGTGTTATTTCAAGTGACAGTTTATAGAGAAGCACTTTGAAAACCTAAGTGCTGTTTTTAATTGTAGCAATTCATCAGATTTCCCAGCTTCACGATTCCCTTTTTTTATTTTTCCAACGGATTCTGATTCACAGCCTGTGTGCTACAAACTCATTTTGTTTCATTCTATAAAGATAAAAATTACACAAAGCAATTGTCTTTTACTAAATTCACAAGAGACTGAATAAAAATGTATTAAGTTAGCATTGGTGATAAACCTCTCTGGTTCCAGGAATATTCACACTGCTTATTTCGGGCACCCATTCCACGTCAACTAAGTAATGAGGATGTCACCTAGTAAAGAAAGAACCTGAGGGGAATTTGTTTGTCCTGGGAGTTATTTAACTTCATCCCAGGGTCAGCCATCCTCCGCTCATTAATACAAGCATTCTCAGTGACCAGAATACTTCTGACTATACAAAATGCAGTGTTTCTTTCTCTAAGCAATATTACAGACTCTAAAGCTACACCTGGTAGCACACACCAGTAATCCTAGCTACTTGGGAGGCCGAGGCAGGGAAGTTCAAAGCTGGTGTAGGCAACATAGCAAGATTCTGTCTCAAAAGAAGGGGAAAAAAAGAACACTAATATTCAGCTCTTTAGATTTCTACATCCCATGCCATTCTCACCTACAGTACAAGGTGGTTATTAGCCTCTATTAATTATATTTTGATTTTTACAGTTAGGCCCTGTCAGTTGAACTGAACTTAGATGATTGGTAATTCAGTTCAGTTCTTCATAAGGTACAATGCTGCTAAAAACAATAGAGTTTGTGCATTTTATCTTGGATTGCACTTGCATTTCTTGTTTAGTTGACCTGAAAATTCTAAAGACATAGTTTACTATTTTTAAATGTCATCATTATCCAAATTTAAGTGTTATTTTCATCCTCATTATTTACACTTAGAAGTAGACCAACTTTGTACAATGTAATTAATGATACAGGGTTTTGTCCCTATTCATAGGAATTCATTAACTACTTAGTGTTCCTGACTTGATTTTTATTCAGACTTAAATCCCACTTGAGAAGCCGTGCATTTGTCTCTAACGTCTGCTTCCCCCGTCAGTTGTTTCTGGACTACACCATTAAGTGCTACGCGAGCTTCATGGCTGGCGCGGACTCCTTTGACGAGATGAACTCAGAGTTGCAGTCCAAGCTGAGTGAGTGTCTCTGCCCAGTGAGCAAGCTTTCAGTCGTTCAGATCACATCTGGGCTAGCAGTGTGTGTAGCTAAGGGTTCTGTGAGCTGCTTACTGGAAATGGAGCTGGATGCCTGCAGATTCTTACCCCGTGGTTTCTATGGTGGAGAAAAATAATAGCTAAGCAGAAAGAACAGTAGTGCTGGGGTCACACATAAGACAGAAGCCCCTCCTGGCTGTGTGAACTTAACAAATTACTTGACCTCTCTGACAAAGCTTTGCCAAAGAAGATGAGAATCATGAATACCAGACACGCTGCTAGGAGCACAGAAGATAATTAGCAAATGTTATTTCTCCTGGGAGATAGCTCTTGTTGTATGATTTGAGAAATTAAAGCACCAATTAGCCAAAAAGCCTAAGCCTCTTAAAAACTGGCAGACAGTCCAAGTAAAGAAATTATGTTTTCAGTCTAGTGACAATTAACTAACACTTAAAAAATCCAGTGTTACTTTATATTCTTTGTATTGAAATTACCTTGTATATAAAAGATCAGAGAGGTAAATAAAATAGACGATGATTTCCAAAGCTGTTCCTCTAAAGAAGATGGAGTTGATCAAAACAGAAGACTCTATTGCCACTTGAGGTACCACAAGCAAACATCACCCCCATGTATTCCCGTGGGAGGACGCTTTCTTTAGGGGTGACCTAGACTTTCTCAGTCTGTCCACCTAGGAAAAAACCAGATAAATGATGCTGTTTTTAGAGGAAAAAATTCCTAGTAATCTAATACAGAAAAATGCTGGTGAGGTACTCTGTATTTCTGTATATAATTAAACATCTACATGCGTGTATTTATTCGTGGAAATTTTTACTGCATGCTAGTGACCATGTACCATGGAGGATACAGTAATAAGATGAAAATATTCACCCTTTGACTTGCATTCTGATCTCCAGAAAGGGGTGATAATGAAGTGAGCGACCTTAAGTCAAATGGTGAAAAGTGCCATGACCAGCCGGAGTAAGGAAACAGACCACAGTGGGGGAAAGGAGGGGGTTTGCGATTTTACAAAGAGCAGCATTTCCTTTCCTGGTGGTGTTCGGAGCAGACGCGAGAAGGTGGGGAGGGGCCGAGGAGTGGTGGAATCCAGAGGAGGAGGCCACGTGTCGATTGATTCTTACCAAGTTTTGGGATTTTTGTCTCCAGAGGATTTATATAATGTAGATGCCGCCAAGCTGGAATCATTAGCCGCAAAAAACAAAGCACTAAATGAGCAGATCGCAAGACTGGAGCACGAAAGAGAAAAAGAACCGGTTAGTAAACATGTTCGTGTACTTCCTAACAGCTCTTTGGGCCATGAGTCTTCTTAAACAATATTAGCTGTATCAGTTTTTTTAAAACTAGGTTAACACTCTAAGCTTCTTAAAAGTTGGGTTTTTACATGGGGTAGAGCTCCCAACAAAAACATGTTTTGTATCCGTGGAGCTTTGTTCTCCATTGTGTCCATTAGTCTTGGTCTGATGGTTTTCGGAACATGATGAAACCTTCCTGCCTCCTTACACGAGACAAGTGTGCTTCAGCCAGCTCCCCGCAGTGTGCACCTCCAAGGAACACAGTTCTCAAGAGGCCCTGAGTTTTGTAGTAAAAAAGCAATGCTAATAAATGAGCTTATATAATACATTGAAACCTAAGTGTTCTCTAAAGTCTAATGCCAGTATCTTAATTTTATTTTGCATGCTAGTAGGTAAGCACCCAGACTGTTTGGTAAAAATCAAATTCTAAATGTTTAGGTTTTTTTCCCCCTCTGGCCCTTGATTGTTTTACACCTAAAACTGACTTCTTGAAAAGTCCATCTCCTTAAGTACCTAAAAATAATATACTCCTCTTTTACCTAAAAACGAAAAGGACATGCTAATTTACCATTCTCTAAGACTAATTTAAATAATACTGCTTTCCTTTAAAGTAAAGAATGATATGGAACTAATTTAATATTCTCGTCTCTTAAAGAATCGTCTAGAGTCTTTGAGGAAGCTGAAAACTTCCCTACAAGCAGATGTTCAAAAATACCAATCATACATGAGCAACTTGGAGTCTCATTCAGCTATTCTTGACCAGAAACTGAGTGGTCTCGATGAAGAAATTTCTAGAGTAGGTAAGACAGCTCATGCTAGCAGAGGTCCCTCTGAGGGGCTCGTGGACCTCTGTGGGTTTGTCTCATATGAAGATCACTGTGCCCTCCATATCTTTTTTCCACCATGATAAATTTTTGTAGCAAATTACCAAGTTTTGAGTCCTTCTGTGTCTACTGTATCAAATCACTACAAGCTTGTTGGCTTAAAGAGTAGAATTCTGTTGTCTCACAGCAGTAGATGCTGTAAGTGCAAGATCCAAACAGTCTGCACTCCCTCTTCTGGCTTCTGGTGGCTGACAGCACTGTAGGTTTTGTCCAGACAGAAGCTGGGCAAAAGGATCACCGGGCTGAGGCAGCCTGGGGACCAGAGAAGAGATTCAAAAGGGTTGGGGACATGGCCCATGGGCAGAGTGCTTGCCCAGTGTGTAGAAGGTCCTGGGTTCAATCCTAGTACCAGAATAAATAAACAGACAGCCATACTATTGTCCCAGGACATTGCTCCTGGTATTTTATTCTATTTAGATTTTAGACATATCTATACCATATAGGAATGGCGTAGATTACTTTTAGACTATTTGGTTTAACTCTTATAGCATGCTGATCATCTGTCAAATCAAGGCTTGTGATTTTCCATAGTACAGTATTTGCTAAATCAGTCTATTATTTTTTACAGATGACTGAGTATAAACAAAGTCTTTAAATATTTTACACCTGTCCCCGTCAGTGTCCTATGCTGGTCATCATGATGAGGAACCGTGAACTAATTTCTTATTCTAACAATGTTTGTAATATAATTAAATCAGTGCTTTCTAATATTAATACTTTATCTCCCTTGTCAGCATTTAATCAAGAAAATTAGCCTTTTTTTTTTTCCAGTAATAGTTGCAAACTGCATAGAGAAAGTAACATTTAAGCTATCATTTGTCGTTCCAGAGGGACTTTGTTTGGGAGGATTAATTTTATCAGTTAACTTAAGATATTTTAGTTCTATAAATACTTTTTCTTCATTGTTTAAAGCCATTTGTGGACAAAAGTGAATAAGACATAATTAAACATCATAGACATATGTTGTGGATTCTTTTGTTGAGATACCTGTAACAAATGCATAAAACTTTACTTAAACCAAGCACTGATGTCTTGTAAGCCCAGATGCGGAGCAGGGATTGCACCAAGGCCACACTGTTGGTCCTCAAGGCCCACAGGGTGATTCTCTTGCCCCATCCACTTAGCCCAGTCCTCTGTAAAAATACACTTTCATGTTCTGTGGAAGTCATGAGTCACAGAAGGTTGGGAAATACTCTTTTTTTTTTTTTTTTTTTTTTTTTTTCTTTTTCCTTTTTATCGGTACCGGGGATTGAACTCACGACTGCCTGCTTGCAAGGCAGGCACTTATGCCGCTGAGCTAAATCTCCAGCCCCGGGAAATATTCTTGATAGGAAGACAAAGCAAGAGCCTAACCAATACATGACACAAATTTTTACAAAGGTTTATTTTAATGGATGTGATTCATGTGTGTGAATTATTCAGAGAATTGTGCAGGAAGGAATGCTCAAAGCAGTTAAGTGAGCATTAACAGAAATAGACTACCTCTTGGGAGAGTCCAGATTCTTAAGTGTAACCATTTTTTTTTATATAAAACTTCCTGAGGAGTTGTAGTAAGCCAATAGGAAGATAAGATGCTAGCAGAAAATTTAATTATAGTATCTTCACAAGTGTTAGTAGTAAAATGGGATGAACTAGAATTATCTGAAGAAAGAGAAAGTATGAATATGTGTAAAACTTGCATATTTAGACATCAGTGCAATTAATGGCATCAGTTTCTTTGGAGAAGTTGTAAAAAACTAAACTTTTGGTATCCTCCGATGCAGAAGTAGAATGTGAAACAATAAAACAGGAGAATGCCCGGCTACAGAATATTGTGGATAACCAGAAATACTCTGTCGCCGACATTGAGAGAATAAATCATGAAAAAAATGACTTGCAACAAACCATCAATAAACTCACCAAGGACCTGGAGGCCGAGCAGCAGCAGCTGTGGGACGAGGAGCTCAAGTACGCCAGAGCCAAAGAGGCGGTGAGTGCACCAGGGCCAGGCGCCGGCAGCTCCAACCTCTGCCGGGCGAGGTCGCGTGGGCAACTCCTGTCTCCGCGGCATCCGGCCCAGTCAGGAGCGCAGCAGGGAGGAGAAACTGGCTCAGGGGTGTATCATGTCTTAGCACCGCGAGGTATCGGGACTGAGACACTCATCACTTATGCTAATTCAGGTACACCCAATGGCCCTCGGTCAAATGTAGACTCCTAACAGTGAGACAAGAAATAAGCAGGAGAGCCAGAGAGCCATGAGCGCGGGCTCTCAAATCCCACCCCATCCTTGGAAGAGGGTGCTGGTCCCTCCTCGAGCTCCTGTCCCTCTGTAGACATGCATGCAGCACCCTCTGGGCGCCCCCTACTGTGACCACAGTGAAAGGGGCCTGGGCACGCCCACTCACCAGAGTACAGGTCACAGCCTCACTGGGAGGGGAGGGGGTGTGCAGGGGCGCTGGACTTGTCCATTCATTCCACACAGCTGGGGGCTTGTCTGGGGTAGTCCACGCCCGCATGTGGGGGTCCTGGTGCAGCGGAGACGCGGCCTGCCCCATTTTGGGGTGACGCCCTGCATGGGTGTCCCTCTCCTCCGGAAGCCATAGGACACCTGTTGTTCTAAAGACAGCTGAAGAGACATGGGGACAAACCAGGGCCATCAGGTGATGTCACAGCCAGGACAAAGGAGCAGTGAGACCAAGGCCTGCCTTGCTGGTCAGGGACTGTCTCAGGAAGAGGTCGGGAGGGGGCGACTGAGCTGGGTCCCAGACAGGCGGTCTTGGGGGTGCGTGAATAACCTCCGTGAAGGGGGAGTGGAGTATACTTCTCGGGGAGGATGTGGGGAAAACTTCATGAAGGAGGCTACAGTGTGACCTGGGGTGGGGGCTGAGTGCATGGGACTCCGGCACATGGGCCTCCTGGGAATGGGAGGCAGCCCAAGCCCCGGAGGGAGGGAAGGGAGCCCTGGACACTCCCCAGGCATCTTCTGAGGGGCATGCCTGAGTACTGCACAGAGAGTTCTGGGCCTGGGAGGAAGGGATTTACCTGTCCAACGCCTCCCCCAGAAAACTAGACTCAAAAATCAGTGAAAGCAAGGCTTCAATCCGAAGTTTTGCGGCTCACCTGGGAGGTCACCCATCAAATGCTTCTGATCCCTGAGACATCCATGAGAACCTAGCACTGTGCCAAACCTATGAGGGACTCACAGGAAAATATTGGGGTATATCAGGGTCACCTGAGAAGCCATGAAAGCTGACTCTAAGAAAAAAACAGGAGCTGGGCCCTCAGGGAGCTAATTTGGCTGGGATATCATAAACTAGAGGCTGTGGGGAGAGGGAGCAAATTTCTAAAGGGCTCTGGACCACCCTGTTGGGCCAATGCTCAACACAGCTCAAACCTCAGCCTCTCACACTCTCAGGTTTGGTGGCTGCCAAGGACCGTCTTGTAAAAGGTCACAATGTTACAGAGACAGCTCTCACAGGTGAACAGATATCTTTCTTTGCCGTCCTTGTGCTGTCCAGTGGCCACCTAATGTTGGGGATGGACAACGCACAGCAGCTTCGAGGCCTCTCCAACATCTTCGAAAGGTAGACAGTGTGTGTCCATGGGCCCCCGCAACTGGCTGCCACGGCCTAAAACACAGTCTGACATCCCTAACTGCCAAACATCCAGGCATTCAAGACCAGGGACCAGAGAAAGTGGCACCTGGAGTACATGAATTAGGACAAATGTCACAGGGTTAGACCCTTAGGCAGGTTTGTCCTTATGGTTATTCGAACTTGTCTCAACCTAAGGCCACCCCAGCCAACTCCCTAGCTCCCAAAACAATGACCCTAAAAAGATAAAAATAATAAAAACAAAGGAGACAGACTTTAGGGATTAAGATTTCAGATGATAATGCCCTGGGTCAGAAGGGTAAAGATTTCAATACAGGCCCTTAATAAAAGTGACTATTACACATGCATAAGTGACAAGGTCGCAGATACAGGCAGTTCCTTTCCTCAGACTGGATGCTAATCCTGACAGTGAATTGTGTGGTGGCCCTGTATCAGGACAGGGTGCTTGGGAGAGTGAG